CTGTCACTCTCTCTCACTGCCTCGCCGCCCACCCCTACGTACACCACATCTCGTTTACTGTGTTCCAACCATTTTGGTTCCTCAGACATGGCTCAGGTCCGTTACACTTGCTGTCTGCTCATCCTGGAAGGCATTGACTGCCGGTATCTATAGGGTGCACACCCTCACCTTCAGTTCTTGGCTCATATATCACCTTTCCAGGAGGCTTTCCCTGGCTGCCCTATTTAAAATTACAAATCACCTAAGCACTCCATATAGCCCTTCTTGTTTCATTTTTTCACATAGCACTTAGCCACCATCTGATATATATTTAATTAGTTTGTCTCACCTAACTGAAATGTTAGGTCTATGTCGCCAGATATTTTTGTCTGGTTTGTTCACTGTTGTCCTTCCCAGTATCAAAAATAAATTTCTTAAGTGACTAATTTTTTTTTTCATTTTAATACTTTATCAGGTGCTACACAGTTTATGCCTGACCCCAAGCTCATGGATCACGGGCAGTCCTACCCAGAAGAAGATAGATATGTACAGCACTAGAAGCTGAAGTAGACTGCATAGAGAGACTACGTAGACAACTACAAGATGTGTGAAAGTGCAATAATGATGAAAAAAATCATGTCATGGGTAACTGATACATAGAGTGTTACCTAAAACAAGTTTTTCCCTTACATCTCCAATGTGCAATTTGATAAATTACATTAAGTGGTTAACACACAAACTGTGAATGCAATGCAGACAATATTAAATGATTGATGAAAAGGCATAGATATAAGTGTTAGCTTGCATTTGATGACCTTTAGGGGCATTTATTAAAAAACAACAACAAATGAAGACATGAACTCCAGTGAGACTAAATCTGAAAATGCATCTGTGTATGTATAAAGACATACATATTGATATGTATAAACATATATTTCTGCTCTAGTTTTCCTGAATTTATGTCAGTTAAATTAGAATGTGTGTGGAAATATGTGTTTCCCTCTTTTTTTTTTTTTTTTCATTTCCTGGAGCTGGAATAAAATATTCGTGTTTTATGGGACGTGAACTTGGCTTTGTCTCTTGGTTTTGTTAATGTTAATTCCTCTTAAATGTCTAAAAACATCTCTAACTATTTGAGAGGGCCATATGCTACGCAGGCTTTCTAATACTGCCTAGCAGTCCTTCCTAAATGGTTCCTAAGTGGTTCACTATTGTGTTCTCTGGAAGAGGTGTTACAAACCTTTTATTCTCCTCAAGCCTCTTATAACTGCCAAAATGACTGTGCCTCCTGTTTTACAGATGAAAAAGTAAATTATTAGACATGACCATTCCAGCTTTCTTCCCATCTACCGTCAAGACTTACCTCTTTTCAGCCATGCATTCCCTTTCTAACACTAATGCTTACAATGTTTGTGTTCTTGATCTCATTCCCTCCCGTCTAAGACCGTCATCCACCCTGTTTAGTCTCCAGGCTTTGGTTTCTCTTTTTGCTAATTTGTTTTCCTCTACCTCTAAATAGCTTTAGGACTTCTCTATCTTAAACCAACAATAACAAAACAAGACAAAAACCTTTCCTTAACTTGGCCTCTTCCGTTGAACCCTTTTTTCTCTCTCCTTCCTATGTGCTATACTTCTTTAAAAAGTAATTATTACTTTTTGACAAAAGTAAATATTGTTTCTTTTTTCCCTACTTTCAAGTCCTCTCTTAGTAAGTTGTGGCATTCTGGCCTCTACACCTACTTAATTTTTTTTTTTTTTTTTTTTTTTTTTGAGATGGGGTCTTGCTCTGTTGCCCAGGCTGGAGTGCAGTGGCACAAACACAGCTCACTGCAACCTTCATGTCCCAGGCTCAAACAATCCTCTCATCTCAGCCTCCTGAGTAGCTGGGACTATAGGCATCCACCACCATGCTTACTTTTTTTTTTTAATTATTTTGTTAGAGACAGCGTTTTGCCATGTTGTCCAGGCTGGTCTAGAACTTCTGAGCTCAAGCAATCCTCCCAACTCAGCCTCCCACAGTGCTGGGATTACAGGTGTGAGCCACTGCACCCAGCCCCTTGAATCCTTATGTCATTACTGATTCTTTACCACTCTCTCCTTGAACTCAGTTATTCCTTTGCTTTCTATTTTTCCTGCTTTTGTTATTCTTCATTTTTCTTCTCTTGCTCTGACTCCCTTAAATGCTGAGGCTGCTCAAGTTTCATCCCTAGTCCTATTTTCTCATTCTATATGCGCTCTCATTTTTATTTAACATACTTCACTGGCTTCAGTCCCCATTTCTTTTATTATTATACATATTTTCAGCCCCCATATCCCTCTAGTGCTGTAGACCTTTATTTCTACTTACTGTATTTACCTAACATCCCATAGATATGCCAATGTCAGTATGCCTAAAACAACATTGTCTCTACCTTCCTGCTCCTTCAAATCGGTTCTACCTTCTCCAATTGTATCATTACTCTCCCTCAAGTCATAATCATCACTTCTCTGGGTTTCTATAATAGCCTTTGGGCTTATTTGCTTACTGTCAATCTTGCTCTCTCTCACTTCAGAATATGTCCTTGCTTGCAGGTAACAGTAAAGTAGTTAAACAAATATTTAATATTAGCTTAAGCAAAAAAAAAAAAAAAAAAAAAAAAAAAAAAAGCGCCTATCTATAGCCTGGAATTTGGCAGTATAGGGTTAGGATACTGGCTCATTGGTCTATCAAGGACCTAGACTTTTTCATTTTCCACCCCATCTGTACAGTATGTTGGTTTGTCACCTCATGGTCATACGATGCCTGCTGTACCTTCAGGGAGCAGATACACATTCAAAGTAAGAAATAGCAGATAAAAATATGCGCAGGATGCTTCTGACTCCCTTTTATCAGCAAAGTAAATGCTTTCTTAGAATCTCCTCAGAAGACTTCCGTGTATGTTTGAACCAGTGCTTGTCATATAGCCATACGCTTAGCTCCAGGAAGATAGGGAATAGGGAAATCATGCTTCTTTTCCCCTGTGGTGAGGAAGACAAGGTTAAGGGATTGGGAAGAGGTGTTGAGTTTAAGCTAACGTCGTGTCTGCTACCCTGTACTTCTAACCCATTTGTCTGTTATGACATAGTTGTCTTTCTGACACCTATAATGGATAGTTGTCTTTCTGAAATCTTTAGTGGCTCATCGCTGCCTGCAGAATCAAATCAGAACTCCCTAGTTTGATATACAAGGCCCTTCATATCCAATTCCAGCTTACCTTTAATCTATTTTCCCTATCCATACCCATCCTACTGCTAATGTGTATTATATCGTCTTTATGACCTATCATTTGTTTCTTGTACATGCTTTGTTGTTTATTGCCTCTTTTCCTGCCTGTGCTAGTGTGTCCTCTCAAAATGCACTTCCATCTTATCCCGCCCTACATTCTAATTTCCTACCCATCCTACAAGTCCAATTCCAGTGTCACGTCCCCTTTCTCAGTCCTCTGGGGTAGAACTTAGATCCTCTTTTCTAGAGACAGAGTCTCGCTATGTTGCGTAGACTGATCTCAAACTCCTGGCCTCAAGCAATCCTCCCACCTCAGCCAAACAGACATGAGGGACTGTGCTCAGCCTTTTCTTAAATTAAAATATATGATATGGCCAGGTGTGGTGGCTCTCACCTAAATAATCTCAGCACTTTGGGAGGCTAAGGTGGGTAGATCACCTGCGGCCAGGAATTCAATATCAGCCTGACCAATGTAGTGAAACCCTGTCTCTACTAACAACAAAAAGTTCAAAATTAGCCAGGTGTGGTGGCGCATGCTTGTAATCCCAGACACCTGGGAGGCCGAGGCTGGAGAATCACTTGAACTCGTGAGGTGGAGGTTGCAGTGAGCTGAGATCGTGCCATTGCACTCCAGCCGGGCATCAAGAGCAAAACTCTGTCTCAATCAATCAATCAATGTACAATAGTATGTCTTAGTTTTGATTTAATATGAGTATGTTTAAGATCTGATCCACGGTTTTAAAAACTGATTTCAAATACTGGAGATAAATTCTTAGGAGCTTACTTATGAAAAACTAGCAAGTGATAGTTGATATTTATAGATACGGTACTTACACAATTTATGTAATTAATATTTTCTCACGGCCAAGATTCCTTGTGTGTATGGCTGAATAACTTTTGTATAGTTTCTATACCCATGCAATGCCTGGTAGATAGTAGGAATTCGCATGTTCTGCCATGCTGGTTGCAGCACAGGACACAAAAGTTAGAATTCTTTCAAAGGACTTATACTCTACTAGGAAAGAGAGAAACATAGAAATATGGTGTTGCATGTCTTATGTTCCCTGAGATAAGTACAACCAAAGTGCTATGGATGCTCAGAGATAAAATGTAGTTCTGGGATGATGTCAAGAAGGCAGCGGTACTTAAGCTGCGCGAGGTAGGGAAGCAACTTAACTGCTAGGTTTTCATAAGTAAGCTCTTCAGAATTTATCTCTGGTATGTGAAATGAATTTTTTAAGCCTCACATCAATATATTCAAACAGCTGTATTTCATCAAATCTAAGGCATATCCTATACCTTTAATTTTTTAAAATGCTGAGCACCGTTGCTTATGTCTGGGAGGCTGAAGGGGGAGGATTGCTTGAGGCCAAAAGTTTGAGACCAGCCTGAGCAACATAGCAAGATCCTGCCCCTGAAGAAAAATGCTGCCAGGTGATAAGTACATGTATCCCAACATCAGATATGTCACATTCTGAAAAAGAAGCATCTTAAATTTGATGAAATATGGTGGGTAAAAAATAGCGCAACACTAAGTATAAGTGATTTTTAAATTATCTGCTCTTCTGGTTTAGCACTACTACTAGCTATTAGAATATTGGTTTAGATAATGGAAAGTTGACTAGCCCTACAAAATCTGCCTCAAAATAAAAGATCTGGTCAAAAAAGAATGTGATGATCACTTGCTGTATTGTACAACCGAGTCAAACTGCTGTTAGACTCAGGTGACATTCCAGTGTTGGAGGCCGTGCTGGGATGAGTCGTTACAAGGCCTCTTTCATTCTTCCTCTGTGATTTTCAGGAGTTCTTCTCTGTTGAACCTGAAGAGACGCCAGCCCTCCTCAGAGGAAAGGTCTAAAGCCCCTCGACTAGTATAGTAGGCAATAGAAGACTTGTTCCAAATGACGACACGAAAGTGCATGCAGCTACATTGGGTTCGGATGGCAATCTGTTTAAAAACACACAAGCAAATTTTACTCTCATTTGAATGTATAGTCTTTGTCAAAAGAAACTATCATGAGAGTGAACAGGCAGTCTACAGAATGGGAGAAAATTTTTGTCATCTACCCATCTGACAAAGGGCTAATATCCACAATCTACAAAGAACCTAAAGAAATTTACAGGAAATAAAAACATCAAAACAGTGGGTGACGGATATGAACGGACACTTCTCAAACAGGAGACATTTATGCAGCCAAACAAACATATGAAAAAAACCCATCCTCAATGGTCATCGGATAAATGCAAATCAAAACCACATTGAGATACCATCTCATGCCAGTTAGATTGGTGATCATAAAAAGTCAGGAGACAACAGATACTGGAAAGGATGTGGAGGAATAGGAACACTTTTTCACTGTTGGTGGGAATGTAAATTAGTTCAACCATTGTGGAATACAGCGTGCGATTCCTCAAGGATCTAGAACTAGAAATACCATTTGACCCATCAACCCCATTACTGGGTATATACCCAAAGGATTATAAATCATTTTATTATAAAGATACATGCACAGGTATGTTTTTAGTGGCACTTTCACAATAGCAAAGACTTAAACAAACCCAAATGCCATCAATGATAGACTAGATAAAGAAAATGTTGCACATATACACCATGGAGTACTATGCAGCCATAAAGAAGGATGAGTTCATGTCCTTTGCAGAGACATGGATGAGGCTAGAAACCATCATGCTCAGCAAACTAACACAAGAACAGAAAACCAAACACCGCATGTTCTCACTCATAAGTGGGAATTGAGCAGAGAGAACACACGGACACAGGGAGGGAAACATCACACACTGGGGCCTTTTTGGGGGGTGTGGGGTTGGGGAGGGAGAGCATTAGGAGAAATACCTAATGTAGGTGATGGGGTGAAGGACGCAGCCAACCCTCATGGCATGTTTATACCTGTGTAAACTTCATGGTCTGCACATGTACCCCAGAACTTACTATTTAAAAATGTATTATCTTCTTTAACACATGTTTTATTGAGGGTCTACTCTATGCAAGACCGTATGTGAATAATACTTCCAAATATAGCAGTTAACTGAAATTTTCTGTAGCTATAAAAAAAGTCTCACTGTTACGAGCTTTAAAACCCCTTATTAAAAGCTCGAAACTGATTTGCTACCCTTTATTGTATAGAAAAGTTTACCTACCCAAAGAACACATGTTCTCATATGTTCCAAAATACAAGAAAATCTTGCTTTTATAGTCTTGTAATATGCATACTGTGGCCCGTTTATGAATAAAAATGCCTTCTATATAACCCTCCTGCTTACTTTCACTTGATAGCAACAAAAGGGCGTATAGTGTGGTTGTGGATTATATGTACATCAATTTTAATTGAATATATTTCATATATTCTATACGAGTCATCTGATTTGAAAATCCAGTTTAATTTGGGTGGAAATTTGAAGTATAGGGGTTATGTTCAAATGGTGTGATTAATGATTTATGCCTGTGAATATTTATTGAAGAAAAGGTTAATATATAGAATATCGATACTAATTTAATACATACCTGACTTAGAATCTTCAGCATTTCAGCTCCAATACCTAGGCCTTTTAAATAGACAATGCAAAATGAAAACTGAAAATTTCACTTAACCAGTTATTTGCTTTAGTCAAAAAAAATAATATCTAAAACTCTGTATCTGGTTTTTTATGTTATTAATAGCTGGTGGGAAACACAACTCATGAATGCTTTCATATCTCTTTTCTAATTGGAATAAGGTACTAAAGGTCAGTAGAAGAGTTGGTTTATTTTAAAGATCAGTGAAGAAGTGAGTCTCTGCCACTATTGTCTTATAACAGTATATTTCTTATCCATTTTACTTAAAACCCACCTAAAATTTAAAAGCATTTTTTAAAGATAAAAGTATACCTCTGTGGCCAGGCACGAAGGCTAACACCTATAATCCCAGCACTTTGGGAGGTCAAGGCAGGAGGGATCACTTGAGCCCAGGAGTTTCAGACCAGCCTGGGCAAAACAGACCCTGTTTCTACAAAAAAAGAATTAGCTCGGTGCTGTGGCACATGCCTGTAGCCCCAGCTACTTGGGAGGCTGAGGTGAGAGAATTGCTTGATGCCAGGAGGTTGAGGTTGCAATGAGATGGGATCACACCCATCTGCACTCTACCCTGGGGTGACAGCAAAACCTTGTCTCAAAAATGAAAATAAATATTATATATATATATATATATATATATATATATATAGCCATGTGCTAGCTTGGCTTATTCAGACCTTAAGAGGAGCTAATGAAATGTTTTTCTAATCTGTGACTGAGTCTTCACTCCATGAAAGAATAACCAGAATAGTAACCAAACTCATTAACTTAATTTAATATAGCAATGGTTACATTAAAACACCATATGTAAAGTCCCGATCATCATTAAAATATGTCATTCTAATTTGTAAAGTGTAATATCATAAATTGTAGTTTTACCTTGGTAAGCTTTTGTGACATAAAAGTCCTCTAGGTAAAGTACCTTACCAATCCGTGAGTCATATGTAAAGTAGTACATGGCAAATCCAATAGTCAATTGGTCTAGGAAGATACAAGAAAGGGTGTAGAAAAGGTTGTGTTAATGTTCACCAGTTCTTTATCCCCAAATTGCATGTCTTTTGCTGTTTTTTTTTTAACCATCAAAATAATAAATGTTCACTGGAAAAAATTACAGAAACATATAATGTAGGGGGCTTAAGTCCCTTAAAATACAACCTTTAGATTATAAGCCTTCTTTTTACAGTGTGGCATTACGATCTTTCAAAGAATTTTAGCTGGGTGCATGGCTGTAATCCCTGTGTTTTGGGAGGCCAAGGGCAGGAGGGTCACCTGAGCTCAGGAGTTTGAGATCAGCCCTGAGCAATGTAGTGACACCCTGTCTCTACAAAAATGAATTTTAAATTAGTTGGACATAGTGGCACATGTCTGTAGTCCCAGCTATTGGTGAGGCTAACACACAAATAAGTTGAAGTTGGAGGCTGCAGTGAGCCATGACCATGCCACTGCACTCCAGCCTGGGTGACAGAGACGGAGACTGTGTCTTAAAAAAATAATAATGCTTATACCAAACATAAGTACATGCAATGCATTTTCTTTAAAAAATGGATTTATATACATATTCTCTTCTGCTTAATAGTAATTATGTGCTACATAACAGTACTATACTTTTCAGCATGGAAAAAATATACTCCAGATTTAAACTGGAGAAGAAAGATTTACTCTACCTGATGGATTTTGTTGACTGTTTGCTTCCGCAATCAGGCAGTGGAAAAGTGGAGTTTCCCCAAAGCCATCTCTGAGTAAATCTGAAATAAACAATTCATATATAGTATGTCAGAAAGTTTATAGCAGAGAGAGGAGATGGTAGATAAGAAGCAATAGGAATTTCTCTCTCCCACCTGGATAGCAATTTGTGTTGGTGGAAACTAAAGTGAATATTTTGGAACTCTGGAGTTTATCTGAATGCTTGCAACTTACAGGAGATAGCCTGGCTGGTCAACTGCAGTTAATTTGGGTCAAAATTCAGCCATCAATGAGGTGGCAGCTACCCAGCACTCAGCACCCTCTGCTCCAGTCCCACGACAGGCAGCCATGGGAACAGCAACCCTCTATTTCTGTAGCAGTTTGCTGGAGCCGGGGTGACCAATAAACGTCTTGTCCACAAAATACTGAAGTTTCTGTGTTTTGGCCGTGGATGGTTGCTCTCATCACTGAGGTGAGGACGTGGAGGTTAACCGCCATTGTTTAACTCCCAGGAGCTGAAGTTAGCTTCCCAGGAGATTGAATGGAGCTGCCCCATTCTGTGAGACATTTGGAATTGAAAAACACATACACAAGGGAATTTAGAAAGTTGCTATGTGTGATTAGAGAAAAGCTCAGACAGGACCTGAGAAACACATTAAGCTTTCAAACTCAGGCTTATCCCTAACACAGAGACACCCTATAATGCTTGAAAAGAAACTCCATCAAATCCTTGGGGAAAAAGAGAGTCTGATTTCCAAAGTTACCATAGTATAAGTTTCAAATGTCTCGCTTATAACAAAAATCACAAGAAATAAGGGTCATTCAAAGGAATAAAATACATTACACTAAAAACATGCCGGAAGAAACCAGATGTTTGACTTAATAAACAGCTTAAAACATCTGTCTTAAAGATGCCCAAAGAGATAAGACATGCCCAAATACAGAAAAATATAAAAACAAAATAATAAAAATTATAAAAAAAATCCCTCCCCCTAACATTCTGAAGCTTAAAAGTAGAATAACTGAAATGAAAAAAAAGAATGCACTGTACTGGAGGAATTCAAAGGCATATTTGTATAAGTTGAAGTAAGAATCCATGACCTTGAAACTAGGCGGGTGAAATTATTGAGTCTGAAAACAAAAGGGATGAGGAAAAGTGAACAAAACCAAAAGTGTTTGTGGAACATTATCACCATCATGTGGAAGCAGGATGTATCTTGTGGGACTACATGGGAGGTTGGAAGACAGACAGAAAGAAAAGGAAGAAAAAAAGAAAAATGAGGGAGGGAGGGAGGAAAGAAGAAATGAAGGAAAGAAAAGGGAGGGAGGGGCCGGGCGGCTGCGGTGGCTCAAGCCTGTAATCCCAGCACTTTGGGAGGCCGAGGCGGGTGGATCACAAGGTCGAGAGATCGAGACCATCCTGGTCAACATGGTGAAACCCCGTCTCTACTAAAAATACAAAAAATTAGCTGGGCATGGTGGCGCATGCCTGTAATCCCATCTACTTAGGAGGCTGAGGCAGGAGAATTGCCTGAACCCAGGAGGCGGAGGTTGCGGTGAGCCGAGATCGTGCCATTGCACTCCAGTCTGGGTAACAAGAGCGAAAACTCCGTACAAAAAAAAAAAAAAAAAAAAAAGAAAAAAAAAAAGAAAAAGGGAGGGAGGAAAAGAAAAAATTTTGAAAAAATAATAGCTGAAAACTTGTGGGACTTACAGGAGGGAGAAAACAGAAAAGAAAGGAAGGGAGGGAGGGAAAGAAAATTTGCAAAAATAACAGCTGAAAACTCTTGTGGGACTTACAGGAAGGGGAAGACAGAAGAAAGAGAAAAAAAGAGAAAAAGCAAGAAAGGAAGGAAGGAAGGGAGGGAAGACAATTTGAAAAAATAGCTGGAAACTTTCCAACTCTAAGTAGGATACACCCAAAGAAGTCCATACCTAGAACACATTATAATCAAAGTCTCAAAGCTAAGAGACAATTTTACACAGTAATAGAGAGGCGGTTTTGTCACATATGAGGGATCCTCAGTTAGTTTATCATCTGATTACCCATCAGAAACGTTGGAAGCCCAAAAGCAGTGGACTGGCGTTTAAAGTCCAGGGGGCTGGGGGAGTGGGGACTGTTAACTAAGAATTTATATCCACCAAAAACTGTCCTACAAAATGAAGGAGAAATTAAGAGATTCTCAGGACCACCCCCCCACCACCCCCCCCAAAAAAACAGAAGAAGTTTATTACCATTAGGCCTACCCAGCAAGAAATGCCAAAAGGGGTTTTTCAGGTTGAAATGAAAGTAGGTAGACAGTAACTCAAAGTTGTATGAATAAAGATGTCTGGTTAAAGAGATACACGAGCAATAATAAGAAGTAGTATTATAATTGTGTTTATACAGTTGACCGTTGAACAACATGGGTTGGAACTGTGCAAGTACACTCATACATGGATTTTTTTCAAACACAGATCAAAAACAGAATATTCATTGGAAGAGAAACCCAAATATGCAGACAACTGACTTTTCATATATGTGAGTTCAGTAAGACTCACTGCAGGACTTGACTCTGCATGGATTTGGGTATATGCAGTGGGACCTGGAACCAATCCCCTGCATATACTGAGAGATGACCCTAACTCCACATTTTGTTTTCTACATTGTTTAAAAGACGAATGCATAAGAATCATTATTAATTTTTATTTTTTGGGACAGAGTCTTGCTTACCCAGGCTGGAGCACAGTGGAATGATCTCAGCTCACCACAACCTCTGCCACCTGGGTTCAAGCAGTTCTCATGCCTCAGACTGCCATGTAGCTGGGACTACCGGCATCTGCCACCATGCCCAGCTATTTTTTTTTTTACAAAGTATTTTTAGTAGAGATGGAGTTTTGCCATGTTGGCCAGGCTAGTTTCGAACTCCTGGCCTCAAGTGATTCACCCACCTCTGCCTCCCAAAGTGCTGGGATTACAGGTGTTAGTAACCATGCCCAGCCTAATGTATGCTATTTGGCACCCCAGTGTTTACAGATGAAATCTCTGACATCAGTAATAGAAGAGGGGGACAGACTCACTGCAGGACTTGAGTTTGCATGGACTGAGGCCTTTCATATACATATTATATATATATATATATATATATATATATATATATATATATGAATAATTTTTGTATGAGATTGAAGTTAAGTTGGTTTAAATTCAAATTAGATTGTTATAACCATCAAATGTAATCCCCATGGTAAACAAAAAGAAAATACCTATAATATATACATATAAGGAAATGAGAAGGAATGAAAATGTTTCACTACAAAAAATAAAACACAAGTAAAGGACTAATGGAGGAAAGTGAGGGACAACCAAAAACTTTAAGGCATATGGAAAACAAACAGTTAAGCAATACAGGTTGAGTCCTTCCTTATGAGTAATTACTTTAAATGTAAACAGATTAAACACTCCTGCTAAACCACAGAGACCGGCAGAATGGATTAAGGGGAGAAAAAAACCAAACAAACATCATCCACGTATATACTGTCTATAAGAGATATACTGTAGATCCAAAGTCACAAATATGTTGAAAATGAAGTGATGGAAAAAGATATTTCATGCAAATAGTAAACAAAAGAGAGCTAGGGTGGCTATACTACTATCAAACAAAATAGACTTTAAGTCAAAAACAGTTACAACAAAGGACATTATGAACTGATAAAGGGGTTAATTCACCAAGAACGTGTAGCATTTATAAATATACATGCATTAAACATCACAGCTCCAATTATATGAAGCAAACACCGACAGAACTGGAGAAGAAGTACACAGCGAGACAGTAATAGGAGATTCGATACCCCACTTTCGGTAATACGTAGGACCATCAGGCAGAAAAGTAGATGACTTGAACACTGTAGATCAATTGCACCTAACAGACATATACAGAAAACTCTATCCAACTACAACAGAAGACACATTTTTTTTTTCTCAAGTACACATGAAACTTTCTTGAGGATAGATACATTAGGCTACATACCAAGTCTTAATCAATTTTAAAACGTCAAAATCACACAAAGTTTTTTTCTAACCACAGTACAATGATACTAGAAATCAAGAGCAGGAAAAAAACTTGAGAAATGTACAAATATGTGAAAATTAAACAACACACTGTAAACAACAATGGGTCCAAGGGGAAAGTATAAGGGAAATAGGAAAACACTTAAATGAGTGAAAATGAAAAGACAAGAAACAAAAGCTTATGAGATGCAGTGAAAGTAGTGCTCAGAGAGAAAATTATAGCTGTAAATGCCATGTTTTTTAAAAAAGAAAAATGATCTAAAACAATAATCTCTTTATGCCTTAAGGAAGTAGAAAAAGAAGAGCAAACTAAGTCGAAAGCTTGCAGAAGGAAGGTAATAATAAAAATTGGGTAGACGTAAAATAGAAGATAGAAAAATATGGAGAAAATCAGTGAAGGTTGATTATTTGAAAAGATGAAAATTGACAGCTAGACTGACAAAAGACGATGCAAATAATTAAAATCGGAATGGAAAAGAAGGACATTACTGCCAACATTACAACATTGAAAGAGAATATAAGGAAATATTATGATATATATAACAAGAAATTGGATAACCTGGAAGAAATGGACACATTCCTTCAAACATACAAATTACCTAAACCTACTTAAGAAGAAACAGAAAATCTCAACAGCCCTGCAAGAGTTTGAATCAGTAATCAGAGATCTCCCAACAAGAAAAGTAAGGAACCAAATGGCCTCATCAGTGGTGAATTCTACCAAGCATTTACAGAAGAATTAATATTAGTCTTTCTCAAACTCTTCCCCCAAAAATGGAGAGACAGGAACATTTTGTAATTAATTCTGTGAGGCCAGCATTACTCTGATTCCAAAGGCAGTCAGAGACACTGGAACAAAGTTACAGGCCAATATTCCTTAATAACGTAGGTTAAAAAATTCTCCACAAAAGTGCAAATTGACCCAACAACATATAAAGGGATTATTCACCATAATAAAGTGTGATTTATCCTAGGAATGTAAGGGTGCACCAACATAAGGATATCAATATGATACATTAATGAAACAAAGGGGGGAAAACCCACACAATCATTTCAATGAATGCCAGAAAGGCATTTGACTAAAGCACAGCACATTCATAATAAAAGATTTCATAAAAGTAGGAATAGAGTGACATTCCTCAACATGATACAGTGTGCTTATGAAAACCACAATATACCAACGGTGAATGCCGGAAAGCATTCCCCCAAGATTAAGAACAAGACAAAGATTCCCACTTTCACCACTGGTATTCAACATTGTACTGGAAGTTATGGCCAGAGCTATTAGACAAGAAAAAATAAATAAAAACCATCCATAGACCAGGTGCAGTGGCTCACACCTCTAATTCCAACACTTCGGGAGGCCAAGGTGGGTGGATCACCTGAAGTGAGGAGTTCGTGACCAGCCTGGCCAACATGGCGAAATCCCATCTCTACTAAAAATACAAAAATTAGTTAGGTGTGGTGGTGTGCACCTGTAATCCTAGCCACTCTGGAGGCTGAGGCAGGAGAATCACTTGGACCTGGGAAGTGGAGGCTGCAGTGAGCCAACATTGCACCACTGCACTCCAGCCTGGTCAACAGAGTGAGACTCGGTAACAACAACAACAACAACAACAACAACAACAACAACAACAACAACTACTTAGGAGAAAGGTAAAGGTAAAACTAACTTTATTTGCAGATCACATGATTCCATATAGAGAAAATTCCAAAGAATCCAAGAGAAAGCTGCTAGAGCTGATAAACAAATTCAGCAAAGTTGCAGGGTACAAGGTCAACAAATAAAAGTGAGTTGTGTTTCTATATACAGGCAAAAGCAAAACAAAACAAAACAAACAAAAACAAAAAATAAATTAGGAGAGCAGTACCGTTTACAATAACCCCTAAAAAAATTGAATACCTAGGAATAAATTTAATTAAGGAGTTTAAAAACTTGTATTCTGAAAACTACAAAATATTGCTGAAAGAAACTGAAAATGATCCAAAGAAATTTTTTAAAAATTCCCCTGTATATGCATAGGAAGGCAACATCGCTAGGATGCCAATCTGATGAAAAATGATCTACATATTTAATACAGTCCCTATTAAAATTCCAACAGCCTTTTTCACCGAAATAGAAAAGCTGTTCCTCAAATTTATATGGAATTCCAAGGGGACCCAAATAGCCAAAGCAATCTTGAAAGCAAAGAATAATATTGGAGGACTCACACTTCCTGACTCTGAAACTTATTACAAAGCTGCAGCAATTAATACTGTATGGTGGTGACAAAAGGACAGACATATAGACCAATGGAATGGAGACCTCAGAAACAAACACTCACATATCTGATCCATTGATTTTTGACAAGGCTGCTGTGACCATTCATGTGGAAAAGGACTGTCTTTCAACAAACGGTGCTAGAGAAATGGAATATCCACATGCAAAATAATGAAGTTGGACCCTTTCCTTCACACCATGTACAAAATTTAACTCAAAATAGATCAAATACCTCAATGTAAGTGCTAAATCTATAAAACTCTTAGAAGAAACATGGGAAATCTTCAAGACACAGGATTTAGCAATGATTTCTTGGATATAACACCAAAAGCACAAGTGACAAAAGAATAAACAAATCGAACTTTATCAAAATTAAAATATTTTGTATGTGAAAGGACAATATCAAGAGAGTAAAAAGGCAACCCATGGAATGGGAGAAAGTATTGGAAATAATATCTGATAAAGGATTAATATCCAGAATATATGAAGGACCCCTACAACTCAACAACAACAAAATAAATCAACTGAATTAACAAATGAGCAATTATCATAAATAGGCACTTCTCAAGGAAGATATACAAAGGGTCAATAAGCACATGAAAAGGTGTTCAATATCACCAATCATTAGTGCAATGCACATCAAGACACAATGAAATACCACTTCACACCCTCTAGCTTGGGTATTAAAAAAAAAAATAAGTGTTGGTGAGGATGTGGAGAAATTAGAACCCTTGTGCATTGCTAATGAGAATGTAAAATGATGCAGCTGTTGTGGAAAACAGTAGTGAGGCTCCTCAAAAAAATCCCAATTTATCACATGATCCAGTAATTCCACTTCTAGGTATGTGCCTAAAAGAATGAAAGCAGCAACTCGGACAGACACTTGTACACCAGTATTTCACAGCAGCACTATTCACAATAGCCAAAATTTGGAAACAGCCCAAATGTATATTGATGGATGAATGTATAAACAAAATGTTATATGTATATATAATATATAAACCTATATGTGTATATATATGCATATATATATTAATCACATTGTATATATACATACAATGGAATGTTATTCAGTTTTGAAAAGGAAAGACATTCAGATACAGGCTTCAACTTGGATAAACCTTGAAACATTATGCTAAGTGAAATACGGTAGACACACAAAGACAAATATGGTGTGTTTTCAGTCATATGAGGTACCTAGAATAGGCAAATTTATAGAGATAGAAAGTAGAATAGCAGTTATGAGAGCCTGGGGGGAGGGAGGTGGGCAATGAGGACAATGAGGAGTTATTGTTGAATGGTTACAGAGTTTCAGTTGAGGTGATGTAAAGATCTGGAGATAGATACTGGTGCTGGGTGTATTGAATGCCACTGACTTGTACAGCTACAAATGGTTAAAATGATGCGTGTATTTAATCACATTTTTTAAAAGTTTACAACAATAGGTAAGAGTAAACAAAAATCAAATATCTCACCTGCCTCTATACAAGTACACAGGGACATTTTAAGATAAAAACAGGACTGAGGACATTATGAAATTACTGCAATTTAAATATATACTGAAATTCTAAGGCAGAATGCTGGAGTATAGAAAGCATTTTGTTGTTTGTTATGATTGTTACATATTACCCTGAGCAACATTTTTCTAACTATAATGAAATATTGCAGGTGCATTATCTCAACATCGTACAGATTGAGTATTCCTTATCCAAAATTCTTGGGACCAGAAGCGTTTGGTCTATATTTTCAATATATGTCATCATATACTTACCAGTTGAGCATCCCTAATCTGAAATCTGAAATTCTCCAATGAACATTTCCTTTGAGTGTCACTCCAGTGCTCAAAAATGTTCTGACTTTGGAGCATTTCAGATTTCAGATTCTCAGGTTAGAGATGCTCAAATTTTTATGCTGTTTCAGTTAAAGTACTGCTTTCATAGAGTGTACATTACTTTCAACGTTGTATTTCTTACTATTTATTTTAAGCCAACAAAATTACTATTTAGTTAACATTCTGGTCATGTTAATTATCAGGAATAAGAACATAAGTATCATCACGTAAGATAACCGATCTCTGATCTATGCAGCTCAGAGTTCTATTTCTGACCAAGGCACTAAGACTGGTTTGTTAAGGAATGGTGCAAAAGACTCCACATGGCAACCCATAACTTCTTTCTGAATCTGTCACCCACTATTATAGTGAAAGCATTTATCTCCTTGGTAGAATGTTCTCAGTTTATTGCATGCATTCTGAAGTATTCAGCTTCAAGGAGTTACCCTTCATCAATTCATCTAGATTTTGAGAACTGTCTTCACCTAGTCTTTGCCATTTTTAATTTTATATATGTTAATGATCTTTTCTCTTCCTCTTCATGTTTACTGCCTAAAATGTTCTAATTCAGCACAAATCACTAGCCTATTCCATTAATCTTGATGACTATCGAAATGTAGTAAATACTTGGAAAATATTTTAAATCATTTTGCTTTTGTCAATTTCATTGTATCAAGCCACTACCAACATACTGGGTGATAAGTTATACTTTTTTGACCAGTAACACTCCTCGTTTTACATTCTGAAACAGCTGAACTCTATTGCAGCTGTAAAGGTAGAAGATCTGTTAAATATCAATTTCATACTATAAATGGGGAAAATAGAAAACAGTGGAGCGCTGACAAAGCTATCAAATTTGTGTCCTGTGCATGTTAGTAATGGTGTCATCTTTATGGACCAGGAACAATTGCTTTCACATATCTAAGTAGTACTGTGTGTTTCTTTTCTTGCCCTGAAAACACAGCAAAACATCTTACCAGCTGCTGTTAACTTCATCGCACCTAGCATGTTTTCACAGGCAGCCAATTCCTGGTAAAGTAGATAAAACCTTCAGTTTATGATTTAGCAAGAAATTTTTAAAACTATAATCATCATAACAATTGTATTAAACATTTATTGACATGTGATGTCCTGAGCAGTGTTAAAAGTTAGTCAGACTTAATCCCAGACATCTAGAAACAAAATCTAAAACAGTAATGCAACAAAAGAATGTATATATAGTACTAGAGAGAGAGAGATTAACTATGTTGATACCTCATGCATATGAATGTCAATTATCAAGGTTAGTAACCTTGAATGCAGCCAGAAACTGGGAAGTAAAGCAAAAAAAGGTTACTGAACATTCAAGGCAGATGTCATAAAGTTAATGTATTATGAAGCTCATAGACTTTTCAGAAAAGTCTCTCAGATGTTGGCCTGTGAGATGTTTTTGCCAGTTTAACTTTAGGCTTTTTTATCGTGGCTTTTTACTCTATCAATTTTTTTTTTTTACATATTCAGATTATTTTCTTCATGGTTTATATCTCATGCTTGGAAAGGTTACAAAAATATTCACTCTTGTTTTCTTTTTAAGTTTGTAATATTAATAATTGATTTGTTCAAATTTTTTTGGTGTAAGAAGTTAGGTACAATTTCACCTTTATCTTTTCCTCCCAATTGCCCAACAGCACTTACTCAATAACCCATCTTGGCTCACTTGAAATGTCCCTTTTCTCATACTACATCCTTATATACAGTCATCCCTTGGTATCTAAAGGAGCTTAGTTTCAAGACCTGCTCCCTCAACGCCAGGATACCAAAATCTGAGGGTGTTCAAGTCCCTGATATAGCATACTCTTTGCATATACCCTATGTACATTCTCTCATATACTTTAATTCATCTCTGTATTACTTATAATATCTAATACAATGTAAATATTATGTAAATAGTTATGCTGTGTTGTGTAGGAAATCATGACTAGAAAAAGTCTGTCCATGTTCAGTACAGTTGCAGTTTTCAATCCGTGGTTATCTGAATCTACAGATGGATACAGAAGGCTGACTATATACTTAAGAGTCTGAACTCTCCATTCTGTCCCACGGATCTATCTTTGCACTAGTTACCATAGTATTTTAATTACTTACAGTTTTATAATATCTGGTATAGATTATCTCCCCTTATTACTCTTCTTTTTTGAATTTCTAAAAATTTTTCTATGTGAAAATTTAGAGATTTTGACTGGAATTGCATTAAACTTTTAATGGAAATAAGCTTTTAAAATATAGGTCAGCAAGGGCCAGATTACATAGGGCATTAGTAAGAAGATTCAATTTTATCCTCAAGACAACCAGAAGCTCAATGGAGTTTTAAGCATTTTGGCTGTTGTGCAGAGAATGGAATGGGCAGGGAGGACAATATTTATGTGGATACCTCCCCTAAGACAGTGTAAGCAACCTGAGGGCAGAGACTGTAATCCAAGAATCCTTATATCTTTTATACTACTTGGTATATAATCTTCCTCTAATATGCATTCAATGTTTGTACAATGAACGGAAATGAAATATTAATACTACCCAGCACCATCTGTGGATTACCATGGTCCAAAACGACACTTTAGGGACTCCCACAATAAAAAGCTTTAGAAATTCTGGTAAACAAGAAGTTATGGCTGCCTGGCAATGAAATGACTAGGTTCCCAAATAATGCTGTGATGTGGTGATTAAGAATAGTACAAAAGGAGTGCATACAGAGAATACTTTGAACAGGACAGTCAATAAAACCTGCAACACGTTCAGCTAAGCAATTACTGTGATTGCAAACTCTAATAAATTCCTCTGCAAAGAGAGAATGTTTTGCAAACTTAGCAATGAACAGGAGTTAGAATGAATAGACATAAATTATTAAGAAGAACATAAAAGTCAAAGCTTATTAATCATTACATACATGTATGTGAGACAGAGTAAGTAATTTAGCTTTTCTATTATTTTTCCACAATGAATATTTATTAAAATTACTCCCAATAAACTTCTGATGTATTATCAGATACATGTGGCAAATTAAAAGGTAAATATGGCCAAAAACCTTACAGATAGTTTCACTGAAATGGGGTAGTCTAGTGACATATTATTACCTTGGTGATGATGATGGGTATTGCTTGGAAAGCTAGGACAAGTACATTTGTCCAGTTAAATAGGTTAATTTTTCATTCAACAATAAATTTATTAATTGCCAACCAGCTGTCAGATGCTAGAACAACAAAAATCTCTTTAAAAGATGTTTTCTACCACCTGGAAGAATGTGAATCTGTAGTAATGTGTTGGGCCTAGTATTTTGATAGATGATCTAATAATTCAGATTAATGTCAGTTAGAGAAATGATGTGAGAATTTGTGGAAATGGAATAGAATGTAAGCCATAAAAGGATAGATAAAATTCTTACAGGTCTGTAGCCAGGCCTAGAATCACTTCAACAGGTAGATTTCACTAGAAAACTATGGGCATTTTATTTTGGCCATTAAAACACACTCTCCAGAGGAAACAGAAACTTGGCCCAACATAGACAAGATTTAAATATATTAGTGAGGAGATTAAAACATTTTTACTGTAAAACTCTTATGAGATTTGGCTATCTATAATCTGAGGCTTTCTCCAGCCGCATATTTACTCCATAAACAATCTGGTCTACTGCTTTATATGCTTTATATGGAATTGTGTATGTTGTCCATCACATAAATGATTGCTTTTAGCACCACAGAGCTGCAGCACGGTAACTGTGACTACTGCATAGCTTGTCCCTTTAATTAACTGGAATGACTTCCAAGGAAGCCATTAAAATAAACATTAAATGAGAAATGTGTATTTCTCATTTAATGTTTAATATGTATTCCTCATTAAATGAGAAATATGTAACCAAATCCTTTGGCTCCTGGGGGCTTTTGGTGGATGGGCTTCAGTGATCAATGAACTGTCTGAAAAAGTATAGCAAATTTGTTGCATGTGAATATTGTTTTTGGGGCAGTTGATCACGAGTTTCTACAGGTAGGTGTGGTCTTAGAAGCAATGAGACTCCCTACCCCAAAATGTTAGCCACTAATATCTGAAATTCTATCATTGGAGGCTCATTTGTTTAAGGTAAACATTTCTCTTCTCTAAGATGCTCTTTTAAAGTTAAAATTTCCCCAGGAAAGAGAACACATTCAGTCCCTAACATTTCTAGGAATTGGTTCCCCCATAACTTTTTGAGCCCCTTACTACATGCCAAGCAATTTATGCGTAATCATTTTATGTTATTGGTTCATAACAACAAGGTTTTGAAATATATATTGCTATAATCTTGGTTTTAGATCCAGAAAATGAAGAGTAAAGAGGTTAGGTAACTACCAGCTGTTATGTACACAGGTCATAACTAGCAGAGGCAGAATTTGAACCCCAGCTATGCCCCCCTTACTCTTTTAGCCCTCCACAAATGCCATGAGGCTCCACGCGATAAGAACAGGCTTACTTCAATCAGACGTAAAATTTCTGAGCAGTCTTCGGCCTTTGCAGTTCTTATTTGTAAATAATCCATGCTTGTTTGCCTCATGCCCAGTTGGCTCACACTTGCTTGGCTCCTGCCTGGTTGACTCAGGCCTGGGTGGCTTACAACTAATTGGTTCGCTTTTTGTTGGCTCGGGCCTGGGTGACTCGGGCCCCGTTCACATGTTCCTGGTTGACCCCTGCTTGGATGGCTCAAGCCCGTTTGGCTCTTACTTGATTGCCTAGTGCCTGGTTGCTTCATGCCTGGTTGACTGGTGTTCGGTAGGCTTGGGACTGGTTGGCTGGTGCCTACTTGTCTCGTGCTTCGTTGGCTCCTACGTGACTGGCTCGTGTCTAGTACGCCCATCACTGGGGGGCCTGGTTGAGATGGACCTGGTTGGCTTATGCCTGCTTCACTCAGTACCACTTGGTTCAGGTCTTGTTGCCACATGCCTGGTTGGTTCCCATCCGATTGCTGCGTGCCTGGTTGTTTCACGCCAGGTTGGTTTATGTCTTGCAGGTTTGTACTTGATTGTCTCATGCCAGCTTGGCTCATGCTTGGTTGTTTCAGGTCCACTTGTTTCATGTCACATACGCTTGCAGTCCTTGGGCTTATGTCCGATTGGCTCTTACTATGTAAGCTTGAGCTTGACTGGCTTATGCCTATTTGGCTAGAATCTGATAAACTTAATTGGTTCGTGCCTGGTTCGCTCACGCCTGTTTGGTTACCACTTGATTCGTTAGCGTCTGGTTGCCTGGGGACTTGCTCGCTCATGCCTGGTTGACTGATGTGTGGCTGGCTCGGGACTGGTTGGCTCAAGTCTGTTTGCCTTGTGTCTGGTTGGCTCATGCCTATTTGGCTTGTGCCTGATTGGCTGGTGCCTACTTGACTCATGCTTGGTTGGCTCCCACCTGACGGGCTGTCTAGTTGCCACATCACTTTGTGGCGCACACCTGACTTGACCTTGTCTTTTTGCTTCAAGCTGGATTTTCTGGGGCCTGATTGGCTTGGGCCTGGTTGCGATGGGCGTGGTTGGCTTAGGCCTGCTTCATTCAGGACTAGTTGCCTTAGGCCTTGTTGCAGCATGCCTGGCTGGCTCCTAGCCAATTGCCGTCTGCCTAGTTGTTTCATGACACGTTGGTTTATGTCTGGTAGGTTTGTACCTGATTGCCTCACGCCAGCTTGCCCCATGCTTGGTTGTTTATGTCCACTTGGTTTGCACTCTATTGGTTCATATCCAATTGGTTCACACCAAGTCAGCTTGTGCTTGGCCGGTTTATGCCTTTTTGGTTGGAATCTGATGAACTCGATTGGTTCGTGCCTGATTAGTTAGTTCATGCCCAGTTGATCCCTGCTTGGTTGGCTAAGGGTGGGTTGGCAGATGATGGGTTGGCAGACAACCGATTGGCTGATGAACTGTCTTGATGGAGCAGGATCCCTTAACTGTAGTGCTGTGGTGGGAGGCTGTTGGTGTTCCCAATTCTTCTCAACTTGATTTGCACTTTGAGATACCCCTCTGTCAAGGTGGGAATTGGAAAAAGAGAGGACCACCTCAGGAAGATGATTGATGGTTGGATTTGCTGGAGTTGATTTCACCAGCGCTCACAGCTGTAAGCTTGGCTGAAGATTCAGGTTGTCATCTGGCCTTTCCCTGCCAAAAAGGCGGAAGTAAAGGGAAGAAGAAAATGATCCTGGAAGAGTGTAACCACCAGCCCACCCTTGCACGGTCCCTGCGTCATAGTGCCGAAGTCACAATGCCGGTATCAGCGTGCCTACGTGCTCCCCCGTGTGGTGAGGGAGGGGCGAAGCAGGGCTCGCTTGACCACTTTATTTCATCCTCTCTTAAGAGCTTAAAATGGCGAATTAAGAGGCTAGAAGGAGTCTCAGAGCATATGCTTGGCACTCCCGAGTACCTGCTGTTTTACCCAATTCAAAGAAACTTGCCCTAACTCCCCTCCCTTTCCCTACACCCCATACCTCAAATAATTCAATTCCTATTTCCGTCCTGATTTTTCACTTACACTGGAAACTGTCCTGATGAGGTGCTTAAGTCTCGAATCCAGATAATACCTCTTTAAAAATAATCATAGCTGGGCTGGGCGCGGTGGCTCACGTCTATAATCCCAGCACTTTGGGAGGCCGAGGCGGGTGGATCGCCTGAGCTCAGAAGTTCAAGACCAGCCTGGTCAACATAGTGAAACCCCCGTCTCTATTAAGAATACAAAAATTCAACTGGGCGTGGTGGCGGACGCCTGTAATCCCAGCTACTCAGGAGGCCGAGGCAGGAGAATCGCTTGAACCCGGGAGGTGGAGGTTGCAGTGAGCTGAGATTGCACCATTGCACTCTAGCCTGGGCAACAAGAGCAAAACAACTTTTCATATACAGAATATATATGTAAATATTTTTATATAAATATATGTATAATATAATATATATTAAATCTATATTATATTATAACATATATTACAATATATATAATATATGTTATTATATATATTATATATTATATATTAATTACATATGGTATAATTATATTATGTTTATTATATATTTTATGTTTAATATATATATATTGTAATATAATATATATTAAACATATAGCTACCGGTACCATTTACTGAGTTCTTTTATGGCCTAGGCTCAGTGGAATGCATGTTACATTTTCTTCTTCAATCCATATCAACCCTATTATCCCCAATTCTGAGGAAATTGACTCAGAAGATTTGGTTATCTCCCCAAGGCTTCATAAAAGTTGGTTGAGAGCCTGCATTCAGACCCAGATCTATGCGACTCACTTTCCAGGCTTTTTATTATTACTGTGTCCTGCCTCCTAACCACATTCTACTCATTCTCCATCCTCATATCTGTGAGGGCAGGCATTTTGTCCTTTTACCTCTCCCCTCTGCAGAATTCATTCTCCCATCATTTTAACTGCTGGCTTACTTCCTCGACAGTGTATATTATATAACTGGTTCTAATATTGTTTTAGATGGAATGTCTTTTATCTTTTAAATAGAGCAGAGAACTTTAGTTGAGGCTGTTCTAAGTCTCACACTGTGCTAAGGGCTTTACATATGCATTATCTCACTTAATCATCAGTATAACCCTGTGATGTATGTATCCTTGGTCCCCATTTCACCAATAAACTGTAAGTTAGATTAACTAAGTTCCCCAAGTATAGTAAATGAGGAATGGGGGTGGGGGGTCCAAGGCTCATCCCATAGATAGAAGCATTTAATTTAAAGAGCCCAATCACTATTAGGCCTATGCTGGCTATAAATTGTACCTAGAGAGCCTATCTTCTTACCTGACAAGCAGATCAAGTCACATCACAGAACTATGTCAAGCCTAATACAAATTAGATGTAGGTATGTTGCTGCTTTTCGTCTACCTTATAATAGAAATGAGAGCTAGTATTTAGTGAATTATTTCTGTGGTGTCTGGCATGGTTCTAAGGAACACTCATATTAACCCAATCCTTAAACAATCCAGTGAGGTAGGATATAGTCTTATACTCATTTTTCAAGTAAAGAAACAGATTAAGAGAGGTTAAGTAACTTGACACAGGTCACACAGCTAAAAGTCCAGACAAAACGAGGAAAACCTAGTTATTTTGTTTTCTTCTGAAATGCAGAAGAGATGAAATAATTTTTTTGTTTACTTTACAAAATCAAACAATTTGCATAATTTATTGTGAGAACGGATGCACTTTGTTTTTTGCTTTCTTAGAGCAAGAGGCAAGTAATAGGTTTCTGGTTGATGCCTTTGAGTAAAGTTAGAAAAATGCACTTTCATAGTCTGGAATTGGTTAACAAGTTTCTTTTGCATTTTGATTTTGGCTCATGAATGCTTACATGAGTGTAAGACTATTTAGATATTTGTTTTTTGTTATTTTTAAATAATATTCGGTTTGAACACAATGCAAATGTGTTTTTTTTTTTTTTTTTTTTTTTTTTTTTTTTTTTTTTTTTTTTGAGACGGAGTTTCACTCTTGTTACCCAGGCTGGAGTGCAATGGCGCGATCTCGGCTCACTGCAACCTCCGCCTCTGGGCTCAGGCAATTCTCCTGCCTCAGCCTCCTGAGTAGCTGGGATTACAGGCATGCACCACATGCCTAGCTAATTTTTGTATTTTTAGTAGAGAAAGGGTTTCACCATGTTGACCAGGATGGTCTCGATCTCTTGACCTCGTGATCCACCTGCCTCGGCCTCCCAAGGTGCTGGGATTACAGGCGTGAGCCACAGCGCCCAGCCTTTTTTTTTTTTTTTTTTTTTTTTGAGACGGAGTTTCACTCTTGTTACCCAGGCTGGAGTGCAATGGCGCGATCTCGGCTCACCGCAACCTCCGCCTCCTGGGCTCAGACAATTCTCCTGCCTCAGCCTCCTGAGTAGCCGGGATTACAGGCGCGCGCCACCACGCCCAGCTACTTTTTTGTATTTTTAGTAGAGACGGGGTTTCACCATGTTGACCAGGATGGTCTCCATCTCTTGACCTTATGATCCACCCGCCTCGGCCTCCCAAAGCGCTGGGATTACAGGCTTGAGCCACCGCGCCCGGCCGCAAATGTGTTTTTAAGGGAACATACACAAAATATATTTTTGCTTAAAGTTACTTGGTAGCACAATTTGTTCCATCTTGGAAACTCAGAATAAGACTGCCTCCACCAACCATTTAAAAATCCACTTGAACTGGTTCACCATCAGGGAAAACATACTTTTTAGACTATTTTTTAAAAAGCTTCAGTAGTCATTCTTTGCCACAGGCGGCAGTGTTATCCAGCTTAGGAACCAAACATGTAAGTAATATTGTAAGCTTGTTTATATTTCATAAAAGTATACATGTTATTTGAATTTGAAGTTTTATTTTATTCCAGATTTTATCAGAAAATTTCTAAAAGCTAATTTTAGTTTTAATATACTACTTTATTAAATATCTAGTTTAGGTAGTGAGTTTTGTAGGCCAAGACTTCCCAAATTCTATTTCTAAAACTTCAAAATGTATATACCTTGTCTGCTCTACCAAAATGTTTTGAATTAATATAACATATGAAGCAACCCCTCAGACATCTAAAACTATGAATGCATTTACACATTTAAAGTCTAATGACTGTAATATATACAATCTCCTTTTCCTGTAGGTGCTAAATAAAATCTAGTATTCTGAATTCTGACCACTTTTAGTAGCAGAACGTACTCTGAATCATAAGACAATAAAGTATGTTACCTGCAGAAAATTTGTATGGGTGTGTAGCAACCTCAATTCTTGCTTCCCCAGAAGAAAGAATTAGACTGAGGGGCATAAGGTAGAAGAAGAAACCAAGGCAAGTTTTACGGCAGGAGTGAAAGTTTATTAAAAGCTTGAGAGGCCGGGTGTGATGTCTCAGGCCTGTAATCCCAGTACTTTGGGAGACCAAAGTGGGTGGACAACTTGAGGTCAGGAGTTGAGACCAGCCTGGCCAAGATGGTGAAACTCTGTCTGTATTAAAAAATACAAAACATTAGCCAGGCTTGTGGTGGGTTCCTGTAATCCTAGCTACTTGTAAGGCTGAGGCAAGAGAATTGCTTAAACGTGGGAGGCAGAGATTGCAGTGAGCTATCACAATCACGCCACTGCACTCTAGCCTCGGTAACAGAGTGAGAGTGTCTCAAAAAAGAAAAAAAAAAAGCTTTAGAACAGGAAGTAAAGTACACTTGGAAGAGGGCCAAGCAGGCGACTTGAGAGCTGAAGCGCAGGGTTTGATCTTTCTGTAACTGCTTCCTTTTTCCTTCTGACAGAGTGGGGGTGGGTGTGATGGTTCTGTGAGTCTCGGACTCTTCCTAGCGGTCAGGACAGGAAGGCTCAATGGCTTAGTGAAAATGGTATCTAGCCAGGTCCAAGGAAGACAGGGGCAGAATTATGCCTCTGTTGTGTCCCACTGATGCGTAGTCTAGGGTTTCTCTGTAGAAGGGTGACTCTTGAATATTGAGAGGACGGTATCCCTCACTGTGGATCATTTGGAGCTTGATGGCCTGAAGACAGAGAGAGACAAATTAGGTTATTATTTAGAAGACTGGCAAAACAAAATAATAGGCTGAAGACAGGTCAAAAAAATCCTGAGGCTACCGACATGCTGTAGTCATGAGTTACATGCATTAGGTTGCTAGCTGATTTCAGTATGTGCTCAGAATTAGACTAGTGGTCCACATTTTTGCATTATCCATCCCCTTTGTTTCTTTTGAGCTGCAGGCAGAGATCACTAGTTGGTTCGCAGGAATAAGCAGGATTAGTCTAAATTGCAGCCAAAAACTCAAAAACAACTGATGAGTCTAGAATCTAATAACAGGAGTGCAATATTTATTTAAACTTTTTTTTTTCCATCTCCAGTCCTCATTTGTATTAAAAACAAATCATGATAAGACTGGTTTGTTTGGAAAATAAGCTTTAGTCTTATTATACTTGACTTGATTATTTGCATAAAGCACAGCAAGAATAATTGTTTGCCAATATAAGCTCCTTTTAAAATTGGCTTTGATGGAACTTTGTGCCATAAGCAATCTCAGATAAGACTTTTTAAAACCTTAATTAAGCCAGCCATAGGTGGGTGCCATCAAATACCTGTATGAGTTGAGTAAATTACTCTCCTCTTGAGGTCCCAAGATAACTTGGGGTCCCTGGGCCTGTCAGAAAGTGGACTTTCTTTACTGACCACTGGTTAGTAACAATAAACAAGGACTATGTAAACAAGATATGGGGCCAGTT